TTATAAAGAAAAAAGACAGATCATTGCGGATGTGTATCGATTATCGAGGACTCAACAAAATCACTATCAAAAATAGCTACCCGCTATCTTTGATATCTGGACTCCTTGATCACTTGAATCAAGTTAAGATCTATACAAAAATAGATCTATAAGGAGCATACAATCTGATACGCATCAAAAAAGAAAATGAATGGAAGATTGAGTTTCGAATAAGGTATCGACATTTCGAATACAACGTCATACCTTTTGGACTTACAAATGCACCAGCAGCATTCCAACATCTAATGAATGATGTCTTTTGGGAGTTATTAGATGATTTTGTTGTTTGTTACCTAGACGACATCTTAATACATTCTAAGAACTCACAAGAACATGAACTTCATGTTCGTCATGTATTACAAAAACTAAGAGATGCGAGACTCTATGCCAAAATAAAAAAGTGTGTATTTCACACTATTCAAGTCAACTTCTTAGGATACATCATTTCAAATAATAGACTTATGATAGATCTTAAGAAAGTTCAAACTATTATAGATTGGAAGATCTCAAAAACGGTAAGAGATGTCCAATGCTTTTTGGGATTTGCCAACTACTATCAGATCTTCATCAAAGACTTCTCTCAAGTTGCAGCTCCACTTACACGTTTGACTTACAAAGACAGACTTCAATGGAATCAAGAAACAGAAGTAGCATTTGAAGCTTTAAAGATAGCCTTTGTTTCTGCACCAATCTTGTATCATGTCAATTTTTTTAAGCCATTTTTTTATGAAAATAGACACATCAGACTTTGCTTTGAGTGTCGTATTGTCACAAATGGGAATAGATGATAAACTTCATCCAATAGCTTTTCATTCCGAAAAATTTTCAACAACCGAGATCAACTATTAGATCCACAATAAAGAACTTCTTGCAATCGTGGATTTGTTTCAAGAATGGCACCATTATCTAGAAGGTGCTTCTAGCTCAGTCACAATACATACAGATCACAAGAACCTTTAATATTTTATGCCAACACGTGTTTTGAATCGTCCCGAAGCCCGTTGGAGTATATCTTTGTCAAGACTTGAATTCAAGATTACTTATCAATCAGGAAAACAACAAGGTTTGGCAGATGCACTCTCTAGATGATCTTATCTTGCACCAAAGGAAAGAGATGTTGCTTTCAAGTAATGAAATCAACACTAACTGTTGATTCAACTTTCATTAAGCAAGTTTAGTCAAGTATGTATTCTGATCCTTTTATTTGTGATGTTAAGGAAAATCCTTCAAAGTCTCATTATACATCCAAGTTTGAATTCAAGAAGAATCTACTATATTTTAAGAGATGCCTATATGATCTAGAAGGTGAAGCTTGATTCCGTGTTCTTCAAGCTCGTCATGACTTTCTAGCAGTAGTACATTTTGGGTACAATAAAACTTTGGAATTAATATCCAAGGACTTTTGGTGGCCACAAATGTGGAAAGCAGTCAAAGATTTTGTACAATCTTTTGATGTTTGCTCGAAATGAAAAACTCCTTGTCATCGACCTTACGGACTTCTTTAGCCATTACCCATTCCAGATTAACCATGGTCTTTTTTTTTTATGGATTTCATCATGGATCTTCTAATCTTAGGTTCTTATGATTCTATATTCATGATAGTAGATCGTTTTATCAAGATGGCATATTTTGTACCATGTACAAAATGTATCATAGGTGAAGAAATAGCTAAGCTCTTTCTTGACAATATCTATCGCTATCATGGATTATTCAAAGATATTATATCAGATAGGGGAACTCAATTTGTATCAAGATTTTGGCGGACTCTTTTCAAGATTCTAAAAGTGGATATAAAACTATCTTCGACATTCCATCCTCAAACTGATGGACAAATGAAGCATGTTAATCAAGTTTTGGACCAGTATTTAAGATGTACCATTAACTACCAATAAGATGATTGGACAGCTCTTTTGCCATTGACAGAGTTTGCTTACAGTAACACAATACATTCTTCTACAAAACAAACACCTTTTTTTGTTAGTTATGGTTATCATCCACGACTTGATACTTTTGACTTTTCAAAAGTTGATAATCTTGCTGCGAAAGATTTGGCGATTCATTTATCAGAGCTACATGCAACAATAAAGGCGCAATTAAAAGAAGCTCAAGAACAACAAAAGATCAATGCAGATGTCTATCGAAAGGAACAACCACCATTCCACATGGGTCATAAGGTATGGTTACTTCGTCGCAATATCAAGACCACTCATCCTTGTAACAAGTTAGACTATCGAAGGCTTGGACCATTTTCTATTTTTACACAAATCAATCTAATTGCATATTGTTTATACCTATCGGAGTCAATGAAAATCCATCCAATATTCCACGTGTCTCTTCTTTAACCATACAAGACAATGGACATACCAAAAAGAAGACAAGCTCCACCTCCTCCTATAGAAGTAGACAATAATGAAGAATTTGAAGTGGAAGAAGTCTTAGATTCAAGGCGATACTAAAATAAATTGGAATATCTTGTCCATTAGCGCAGATATGATATTAGTGAATGCACATGGGAGCTAGTAAAGAATCTTGTAAATCCAGCAAAGGTAGTGGAGGCTTTTCATTGACGACATCCATCAAAATTAAGATGAAAATCTTTCTTATAAAAGAAACAAGATTTAGGCAAGATAATATTCTACTTTCAATCCTTGTTTGTAGCTTCTTTGTAGTTGTGACACTGAGGAGATGGAGAATCAATAACTAGTGGATTTGACTCAAGAGCCTTCGTTTGTTGAACTACTGGACGAGAGATTATGATTGTTACAACCTTCAAGACGACGCAATCAAGATGAAGATCTTCAATTATGACATGTTCTTCTTTGAATAGATGGCGAGATACAACACATTTGGTATCACGACCATGGAAGGAACTCCTGAGGTTTGGTGATTTTACTAGAGGTAAGAACAACTATTGATGGTATTTCAAACGTTTTATTTGAAGGAAGTTATGAAGGCCTCAACAATGATCAAATAATTGGGTGGTCTTCCCACCCTAGTATAGGATGCTATCGATAGGTGAGAGGCCCTATGAATCACCTTCGAAGAGAATAAAGATCAGAGTATGTGGCAAATACAATTCGTTGCATCATAGATTTTCTCAACATATGATGATTGCTCCTCGTGAAACTCGTACCTAGAAGGGGAGATAATGTCACGAACATATGCATGTAAGCCAGTAATTACATGTATAAATAGATAGAAGTAAGTAAAAGTAGATAAAAGTAAGTTAATTATATAGTATTTCCTATGGAAGCTTTCTAAAAGCTTTATAGACACTACTTTGATTTTATAGATGTCTTTAATTGACTTTTTGGATTAGAAACATGGTCAACAAGTTGGCCATGTGCCACACATGTTGTTAGCTTGAAGACCAAGCTAACTATGTGGCCTTTACATAGATAAATTTGCCTTGTAAGTCAAGGCATGTGTCCTACAAAGTCAATACATATTGGAGGTCCTATAGAACATCGCCATGTAGCCCCTAGTTAGATAGTATATGAAGAAACAAGAGTGAAGCCTTCTTCACTCTTATCAACTCCTTTCTTGCTTCCAATTTAGTTTCAAGGATCTCTAGTTTTCTTGGCTTTTGGCAATAGCCATTCCAATTTCTTTCTTAATATACATATCAAGTTATTTTTATTTTGTCATCTTTCTTTGGGAGAAGTCTCACTTGTTTATTTGTCTTTATCATGTTTTTATCCTTGATGTGCAATCTGAATAGAAAGGTACTAGTAATGGAGTATATGCTTAACAAAATGCTGAACAACTTGATGTATGCATCGAGGGATGCCAAAGTGGTAAAAGAATTTAATTGGCTCCATCAAATCAATGTGTCCATCAGCACTGCGAAAGAATTGAAATACCTTCATCATGATTGTCCAATCTATTCATAGAGATTTGAAGCTAAGTATTATCATATTCAATATCTTTTTGGAAGCAAGGATAACCGATTTTGGCATCGCAAAGGGTTTGAGTAATAATAGAAGTGGGCCTAGTACTTTAATTGTCCTCACTACTAGTGGCTATTTGACTCTAAGTACACAGCCCAAATCCATGATGGCTTTTTCAACATTGTAGATCTTGACATTGTAGAGGAATGTATAGAACAATTGGACAACTTAGCATGAGGAAGACAAATTATTGCCTAAAGTGCCACAATAAGCAATTGCAATACAAAAACATCCCTTAAGGTGTAAAAATCCTATGCTTTCAAAACCAATTGGAATAGGAGAGAGGAATTAAGAATAGGGATAGAGGGCAAGAATGTAGAAATGGGAATGAGAGTGCAATGATTCCTCATCAAAAGTAGATCAATTTAGTAAAAATCTAAGTAGCTTTAAAATATATATATATATATATATATATATATGATTATATTGAAAAAAATATATTTAAGAATGTAATAATAAACATGATGTATGTATTATGGCATTTAGTATATTAGATCCACTTTGAATACATTCATATTCTTTTTTCCTTCTAAGTAAAATGAGTTCAATTATTTCTACCTAAGGCATAATTTATAAAGCTTTTGGTCATTGCACACATTGGGCATTTCATTGAATTTAGAAACATATATAAACTGGTCGTTTGTCACAAAGTTTGTATTTTTGAACAAATCACAAATAAACCAAGTCACGTTTACAAATCAAGGGTTTAAGTAATCAAGTGAAAACAAACAAACAGAATTTAATATCAACTTTATATTGATAATACATATTGAAAAAATCAGAAGACGAGACGATCATACAAGAGAGGTGTGGTAAACAGGGAAAGAATTCATGTGCCCCTCATTGCTTCTAAGATGTGAGTTCCTTGTGCTCCCATTCTGGGCACTGCCAGAAACTGGATGTTGAATATCTCAACAAGTGAGCTGAGATACTATCTCAGTAAACTGATGTTAATTAATCAGATGAAATTTAGAAAACAAATCAGCAAATTGAGAACTGTGACGAAGCAAGTAATGCTCAGAGTGATGTAATAAATTCATTTTAAAGATGAGGACCGTACTATGAATTCACTTTGATATTTGGATGCGGAAATGACCATCTTCGCCAGAGATTTGAGGCACGACGGTCAATTAAGTCGGGCAGCAGATGTCTACAAGAAACATGACAGGAGATTACGACATAAGATGGTACATTAATCCCTCATGCCACAGCGGGTGACAACTGGCTTCAGTCCTCTAAAGAATTTATCGCTAATCCTCTTAAAAAAATCATCGCTGCCTGACTACAAACCGCGAATGGGTAATAACGATGATCGCTCCATCCAAGTTCAATATGATCATCGAGGTCAAAATTGGTGGCAAACAATCTCCCTGACTCGGATCTAAACCTAACCTTCCGTGGCTGCACTTGTCATAACTTGGGACAAACGTACATCATGCGTCAGCCACCAACCATGACTCTCCAAGAGTAATCTGCACATGGAAAAATGAGGACACGTATGAGAAGTTGTATAGCATGCTGCTACCAGATTACATCTCGACAAATTTTCATGTAACCATGAAACCAAAGGAAAATTCCAAAACATTCATTCTAGTACAGCATAAATTCTAGAGAAACCTGCGCTTAAAAAATAATTCACTTTCTAGATTTTTCAAGTAAGAAAAAGTAGGAAATTACCTTCTCTCCAAGTTTGAAGGTAGGCATGCCCCTGTATGGACATCCGGCACAACGGAATGCATCTCCTAGTCCACACTGCAAAAATTAGCAAAACACTACGTTTAAATTCACCATTTCCAAGCACAAGCTAGTTTAAGTGATGCTCCAATAAGGAACAGACCTGACAATGTGTTAACATGTCTGTTTCTTGCCATACTAACTAAATCGTAGAATGTTGCGCAAGATCGCAGTAATATGATAAACTTTGCGAAGCATAAAATTACAGTTCTTTTCTTCAGATAGAATTGACCGCTTACACTGCCGCAAGAAGATGTGGGGTTGTTGATTTGGGCAGCTGTAAGTTTAGTCTCTTCTTCCTTCTCTTCAAGTTCTGCACGACCGCAAGTACAGTTTTTGCATGCCTTTTTGGTAGGAGCACAGCTCTCTGCCTCTGTAACACCCATATCAATACACACCACGGCAAGTAAATCTTCCATCTGTCCTCTACCCCTAGCCCACTTTCACCAAGCAGAGCTATGACGAAATACAAGCGTCATTAAAACAAGGCAAAAAATCAACAGAAATACCTTATTCCTAAAATAAATAAATAAACAAAAAAGTAAAATTAGAACTCGATTAAATACTCACTAGGTATCTCAGGTGCCTTCAAGTCTTCCTCTGTAAGAAGATCATCCTCGTCAATAAGTTCCTCGTCATCATCTTTAAAATTACTTGTAAGATCCAATTTGACTACTGACTTGCTCATTGACAGAACATCGTCCATCACATCCCCAGCAGTAAACTTCACGGGTTGATGATTTCCATTTGTCCTGGCACGACCTAACCAGACAGAAAGTCTCACCTTGATTAGTCTCAGTTTCATCACATGACACAAAGTCAACAACAGACATCATCTCATTGTGCGCTTCATCATCCACAAGAAACGCCTTCATGACAACTTTTAAATAGTTAGCACACACGAAGACAGAGTTTGTTGCCACGCGCATCTGAACACTAATTGACTGTGAAATATACAGCGCACACAAAATGACTCCTTGTATTGGAGCTACAAGTTATTGATCAATTAACTACACAAACTACACAAAGCTCGCGCAGACAAATCCCATGACATTATTATAAACTATTTAGTGCAATATGAATCGCAACTCAGCGATCGTTAACAGTAAATAAAGGGTTTACTGTCTTGACAAATTCTTGGATAGGCATACAAAATAACTAACGGACGAGTAGGTTACCTTTCTGGCTAGAGCCCTTCCTGAGTTGGAATACAGATGCCGAGTCCCAAGAAGGCTTCTTAGATTTCACCTGCAAACCAAGGAAATTAACAAACTTTGACCATCAAAATACGAGGGAAGAGCTTTTCTACTTTCAAACATGTGCACCTTACATCATGAGTGGGATAAACATGAAGCAACTAAAATATTCGGGAACATATACCCAAACCTGAACAAAGTACATATCGAACCTTGACAAATCAAATGCACTGCAACTACTTACACGACATCATTCTGATTTAATATGAACTCCGTGAAGACTGATGACTTACCGCAACAAGATTCAAGGCAACAGAACTGGTCGTACATGCTTTAGCAATCTCTACTCCGGTTACAAAGTCCACTTCAGAATTCACAAAGCCTGCAAGCAGCAAATTCCGCTCCAATCCAGCGTTTGTTTGAGTGCTAGAATACTGCAAGCATGCATCTTCAGTTAGACGATAATGAAAGCTTGCTTTGAATCAGGAATAAAGATTTGTTTTTAAAAACCAAATTTACGTAAGAAAAATTCTAATAACGGACCCGGATCCGAAGTAAAAAGAAGCTCGACTGGAAGAAAAAGAAAAAGAAAAAAAAACTCTAACTCCAACTCCACTATGATTTAGGTAATCATTCAATCCAATATTACGATAGTTCTTCAAACATTGGAACGAATATGAGTCTCATTCGTTTATAAATATTAATACAGAACACTTACTGACAAGTGTGCGCCTCGCCCTTCATCTTAAGGGCTAATATATAATAAACTAATAACATACCTTCTGTTCTTGGGTTTCAACAAGAAGCGGTTCTAGAACCAAGAAGGAGCCACCAGGATTGAGAACACGAGCAACCTCCGCCAGAAATGATGGAGAATGACGGCCTGGTGTATGCATCAATGATACCACTGCCTCCACTGATGTCCCAACATCAAGCTTGCCTTCATGATTAATCAAAGACAAAAATAAATAAACAGAAATGACAAGTATGTGAACAACATTCCCAAACGAAATAAGTTCCATTTCTGGTCGACAAGTACTGTGTAAAACTACCAGAAAAAGTTGGCTAATCACAACAAACATAGTATTGTGTAAAACTACAAGTACAACCGCAATTTTCATGGCTATTGTCTGGTTTCCGTAGGCATTATAGTTCTTCCGTCGTTCCCAAATGCAGCGATTGACTTTAACCATTGCAAACAGCATAATAACCAGACAAGTGCTTACAAGCCTCTTGAGTATTGAATACGATTTGCAATGTGGCTCCGCCAGACAGTTCAGCGTGATATGTCTTCTTAACCCATTGCTCCACTGAGTCCGGAAGTGGCTGCAAATCGATGAACAACAAAACTCCAACCTTTTTGGCCATCTCTGACAGATGAGCTGAGAGATAACCTCTACCTTCGAAAGGAAACTTACGTGAGTCAATTGATAAAGGATTTACCTGAAAAAACAAAGTATGTTAAACCGACAGCTCTCGGTTACTCCGCTAACCACAAGCAAATTTAACTCAAGATGCTTTCATTCACATCCCAAACATCTAATCAGGTGCAATCTATGTTCCACACCAACACGATTTGGTTACATTGACAACAAATTCGAAAGAAGGAATTAGTTATAAATGTACGTTCCCCGTGCCAAACAACTGTTACATTAATTACCAGAAATGCAACGTAAAACTAGCGAGGGCTCGTCATTGGCTGCAACTACAACTTCCTAATACCTACCCTCAGGGTCAATCAGAACCAACAATGCGGCAACGCATCAGTTCCTTTCAGTATTCCTTCCAATGACGGAACTCCAATTCATTGGGAAATACAACTTCGATTTCTTGAGTAACACTTCACTGAAAAAGTCGTAGATGGGTAAGAGAAGGAGAAACTCGTAGTGGTAACTAAAACTCTCTCATGAGCTAAAATTAGTACTTGGCATCAAATTAACATCATCTCCTCGACATTAGTGCCAAGGCCAATCATCCTGAGTTCCATTACGGCGACAATACTGAGATATTACAATGAGAATATACAAGCAAGCTCAAACAGGCAGTGAGAGAGATGAACTATCATTTAGTAATCACGCCACTTGTACGCCTTCTAAGGATCCATCCCCTCTCTCCCTCCACCTCACAATCTAAGGATGGTCGTCAATAGATGCAAACATCTGATTCACATACGGAATAATAAATCCTGACAGTCCTCGGATCTGCTCGGCACTGAGACAGCCCATCATTTGATTGGAACCCCATGCAATCAGTCAATCGTTCACCGCACGAAAGATACGGATAGACCTTTTTAAACTGTGAAGGATGCAAGCAAGAAAGTAAACATCCAAGAGATAAGTGTCCAGGCAAGGTGATTTTCATGAGGAATCATCACAAACACCATTCAACTTGTGCGATATCCACACTAAGGCAACAGAAAAGAGAGAAACCGGAAATCCAATTACGCGAACTAGATCAGCAAATTTTAGGTGAAACCATCATTCAACATACTGAAGCTCTCCACAACCTGTATCTTGTAGAAGATATATATCTCTCACGCGAAACATCTACTCACCTACGTTCGCAAACTGACACCCAATATGCAAGGCAGAAAAACCGAAAAAAACCCGAGTTTCATCATGAGAAACGTATCCTCTGTAGAAGCAAACTGGAACCCTCAAAATCGACACGAAGCGATGCCAGAGGAGTATCACCGTCACAAAATCAGGCGCTTACCGGTAGACACAGAGCAAAACCAACTCAAAAATATTCAACACCGTTGAACTGCCCACTTTGCTTCAATCTGCTTTTTCTCAATAGCCTTCCTCCCTGTCCACCTCTCTTCAGTGTGCTACTCTCTCTGGCCGTGTCTCTAACATAAGTAGGCCACGCTACAAGGACACGCTAGCCAACAGAAGGCGAAGCACACCCGTCCTCGGCCTCCCTCCCACGCTTGGCACTTGCTCATTCCACATGGGAGCCAGAGAATTCCATCAAATCACGATTAGTTACCGAAAAGGAGAACCGCTCCAGATCAGCGCCAGCATGGAATGGCATGACTTACCCTAACCTGGCAAGTAGCTCGAGTGGAGCAAGCACCGCAGGGCGAGGTTCGCCGAACGAACGACTCCTCTGTGCCCCGAATTGAAGTCCTCCGCGAAAAGACTCCGAAGAGGAGGCGTCGCTACGAAATTTCGTTTGAAGTGACTGCAGCAGCAGCGCACACGCACAAACGACGCGCCGGGTCCAGGGCCGGCACGCAGGCTTACGAGTTGTGGAAGGGGAGCTGCACTTCGGAGGAAGCCCGCGTGGGCGCCGTCGCCATGGAATAAAAAAAAATCCTGCCCGGCTGCCCTCACGTCAACCGCCGCAATCTGCCGCTCGGGAGCGTCCGGGTTCCACGGCAATGCGCTCAAGTTCCCGCGTTCTCCACATTGGGCTGAGTTGGCACTTTCCCATGCTGACGCGACCAGGATGATGACGCTGAATGCATTCTGCGGTGTGTGACTTGCTTGAACTTCAGTCTGTTTTAGGAAGTGCTTTATCGTGTTGGAAAAAGCATCAACTACGAAGATTAATTGACGTAAATCGTATCTGATAACAGAAATTAATCTACTTTTCTCGTGTGTTCTAATGTAGCTGAATTTGTGTTGAAACTGCAAAGGTGTGAGAATATTTGTGGGTTTTGCATTCATAATATTCCAAAAGATGCTACTTTCTTAAATTGTAACAGGATCTTCATATTCTCAATCGAACACATTACAAAATCAATTTATCTATACAAATCACTTCAAACACATTATTATTGTAAGATCATCTTCTTTTTTCAGCACACGTATATAATACGTAATAATATATATATATTAAATTTGAAGTAGTTATCATACAAACAATGTTTATTTTATGGTTGGTTTTTGTGAAGCTTTCTAATAAATAATGCTTTTTATCTCATCTCCAGACGAGTCATGCTTTCGTCCCTCAACGACATTCTCCACCAAGTTCGGCTCCTTCCCAGCTTTTCCAAGAGTGTGTTTCTCCTCTTCTATATTGGCTGCCGTGGAACTTACTGCTGCTGATGTGCCAACAGACTTTGGAGAATGGCTCGAACCTTCTGAAATCAGATTTGATATTCGATGTGATACATCTACATTACCGAATACTTCTGGGCCAGACTTTGTTGGTTTGCCGATTTGGATACCTGACAAGCCAAGGGGTAGACCTATGGGACTTCCTTTGGATGGTTCTTGTGAAGCGCTCTAAGACCGAGACTCTGTTGACATCCTGCCCTTGTGTAACGGAGATTGAGAGGGCGTAGATTCCCAGTGAAGGGTTCTCTCTTGCACAATCTTCAGCTTTTCCACTACGTCACTCATCCTTGGTCTACTTTTTGGAACCTTGTTTAGACATTGATACACTAGCTGCATAAATTAGCTATAGTTTAATCAAGTATCATTGTAAATTATTCAATACCTAAATAGACATAAAATAAAAATCAACATATGTTATTGCATTAAAGTTTTTAACAATAATTGTGATTATATATTTCAATACATATTTGTATAATATCACCAAATAATTTGTTATAAAATAGATTAGAAAAAAGTATTATTTTATTAGTTAGTAATTGTAACTTTATTGAAAAATTAAGAATAAAAAAATTAATTAATTAATTAGAATATATCATAATTTATTTTTTTTTAAAAAAAATTGGTTAATTTTAAAACAAAATTATTTATTTCCTTCAAAAAAAAGAGAAGTAGTATTACTTTAGTTTTAAAGTTTAATTTTAAAATATAATAGTTGGAATAAGTGTAATGTAACTTTTGTGAATACTTATATGAAAGACATGTATCCAAATACAAATGTTATATTATAATACAAATAAAAAGTGAAAGAGAGAAAAAAAAAATTACATTATAGAACATCAACAACTCAGTAAAATTTGAGAGAAATTTAATGGTGAAAATAAAAAATATTAGTATTGAAAGATTGGCAATAAGATTAGGGGAAGGAGGTTGGTTGACATCCTAGCAGATTATGAAGTTTTTCTCCCATTTGGTAAATTTTATTCTTATAAAATATGTTTTGTTTTTTTCTTTCAACAAAAAAATTAAGAGATGTAATTTTTTTGAATCAAGATCAATAATTTCATTATTAATTATTAAGGTTTTAAATCTGATATAAGATTTCAATAAGATTCGATTATGTTTCTTTTAGGATTTGATTATGATACCTTTAGTTTTTCATTAAGATTTTTATAGACATCCAACAAAAAGATTTTAAATATATTTTTAGAATATTTCATAAGATTCTAAAAGGCTCTAGAAAGATTTTAAAAATATTTTAAGGATTTATAAGATTTTTAGAATATTTTAATAGATTCTAGAAAATTTTAGGAGGATTAAAGAAGTTATCTAAGAAGCTTATGAAGGTTGCTTTATCTTCAAGCAATATAGAATTTTTTTGAGAAGCTTCTTAAGATTGCTTCATTTTTAAACAATATAGGAACTTCTTAAGAAGCTTCTTAATATCTAATATACATTAAAGTTAAGGTTGAAGAAATCCTTAGTCTTAACAGTATTTCTCTTAAAGTTTTACTTCACTTCTTTTGTTTATTGATTTTTTATTCATCTAGTTTAATCAATTTCTTATTAATTTTCTTTTCCATACTTTTTTATTCAACTTCTTCTTTGATCTCTCATATAGTATATCCATGACAATTTGTTAAGACTATCATGTTATCTATACTAGAGTTTAATCCTTCTTGATAGAGAGTGGATTATCCCTCTTCTTGAAGGCATCTAAATGCTTTAGAAATTACAGATTACCTTCTTCTAAGTATTGTTTAGAAACTCTTTTTTTATTTATTTTTATTTTAAGATAGTTGGAGGTGAAGATGTTAGTATGGTTAAGTCTCTTAAGTCCAAATTAGATGTTATTATGAACATGTTAAATGCTTTATTTTATAAAATTGGTGAAATTAAAGGATTTTTTGCAAGATTTTATGGTGATGCAAGATCTAGAACAATTCAGCTTAGGATGCAATTACTTTTTTAAGCTTCTATATTGAAGGAGGTAGTAGCACTTTCTATATGAAAATTCACCTATTCAACAACATAAGGAGCCTCAAATTAGTCTTCTAGAAAAATTTGATGGCACATGCTTTAAATTTTAAAGATTTGTTATTCAAATTTGATTGATAACTTTTTTACAATGTGAGCATTATCCAACAGAGAATTTGTGAGTTGATTTAGTTAAAACCTTACTCATAAGACAAGCTCATCTTATGAGCAACTTTAAAGCTTTCTTAGAAATATTTGCAGAAGCATTTGGAAAACATGACAAGATCCAATGGATAATAACAAAGATTTATTCATTATGTCAAGAGTCATGCTCTATATCAATTTATGAATTTGATTTTAGGAAATTGGCTTGTAACATCAATTAGGATGAATAAGCTCTCATAAGTCAATTCTTTTAAAGACTAAAGAATGATGTAAAAGACCTATTATTATCATTATCTAATCTTCAAACAGTGAATAAAGCTATTAGCTAAATTAAAAAGTGTAATAATTAATTATTTCAATGTTGTCAAGATCAACACTCATGGACTTTGACAAAGCAATGCACTAAAAATTCGTACTTTATTGCTTCAATAAATACATTATTTTCACACTGTAGACTTAAAAATATACAAATTGATGTAATATAATTCAAACCTTGTATACTAGAAGCAAAGAAGTATTGATTTGAATAAGGTCTATATTTATATTATGATAAAAAAGGCCACAAATCTAGAAATTGTTCAAAAAATTAACTTACAATTAGGACAAGAAATACAATCTTTTAAAAAAATGAAGAGGCCTAGCTATAATACAAATCTTGCGGTTGGATATTTTAATATTTCAAATTCATCAAGGTCCTTCTCTCTCTATTCACCCTACTTTTTGTTTTATAATATCTTTATTTTTTAGTCAATAAAAACTTCAAAAAAAATTCTTTGTTAGATTTAGGAGCATTTGCTTGCTTTTTAATTGAAGAATTTTTTAAACTTCATAAAATTCTTCTAATATAGAAGTTAAAATACATACATGTAGAATTAATAGATGGTGAATCTTTATGTTCAAGCAATGTTATTCATGTGACTATATTGCTAGAAATATCATTTGAGGGTCATAATAGTAAAATAATATTGAATATTATTAAAATCATATTCAATTCTATTTAAAATAAGAATAGATTTTTTAAGGTCTAAAATTTTAAAAATTTCATAATAATTATTATGAAATTATTAAGATATTGACACAACATAAGATCAAGCACATCAGAACAAAATTGGTAGTAACTATAAAAAATAAAACATAAAAGATAGGATTGAATAAAAGAGAGTAGAATCAAATAGAACCAACAGAAAAAAACAAGAAAAAACAACCAAACTTTACTAGAAAAAAGAGTCTAAAGCCATACTTGATCGAAAGTCCAAATGACTTCAATCAGTTCTATTTATACTTTATTCAATTGTTTGTAGAACTTTTTAGAATGTCTCTAATGGTGGGCCTTATTGTGATAACTGCCCTTCTAGAAGATTCTAAAGGTGGATCCACTATGATAACTGCCCTAAGCATTTTTAGAAGGTTTTATACTCGATTTAACATAAACCACCATCCTATTATCAATTCTAAAAACTTTCCAAAAATAATTCCAACTACATATTTCTATGTACAAATAATATAAATATCTTATGCATGCCTAATTATAACTAATCTTCCTTCACTAATATAAAACGTCTTCATCTTGCTCCTGATAGTATTTCTTAATAGTTTCTTAGCAATGAGTGACATTTTATATAAGTTTCTATATTGTATCATAGATGGGATAACTTTTCTAGAGAACTTTGTATTAAAATTATGAACATGCATTGCCACGACAAAGGTAGCAATGCTCCAAAATATTATCCACTTCATACCCTTGTTGGTGATCAATTACAACTGATGTTAGTGGTGGTGGTGATGGTTGATATTGATTTGAAAAGCGCCTTAGTTTAATATGAAATTCCTTGAATTATAAAATATGAAAGACTGAATGGATCCAAATATGTAGCGGAAGCTCAAGGCAATATGCAATATCAAAAATCACTACAAAAATGCAAAAAGATTGAAGCTATTGAGGTGCTATCTTACGAACTTGGATTAATATAGCAAATAGAAGGTTGATATTGGAGAGTAATATGTGATCACTCTTTTAGAAGATCTTATGTT